GGTGGGGACGGCACGGCTTGCTCATGAGGACATCCATTTTTCTGTTCCCTAAATGGAATCTGTGGCTTATCCAACACTAGCAACTGTATTCCCTCCCGCATATGCCAGGAAAAGTTCATAGACTGAGCCATACAGTCACACGGGGAAGACCATGCAGGAGCGAAAAAGTTCAGGTGTCTATAGTTGAAGAATAGAGGAGAGATTCACTCAAGATATCTTGTAAGGTAAACAGAAATTTCTCACATCATTCTCCATCCTCTTATTGTAGAGAAAAAGCCATCTCCCCAAACTTTGGACTCTAAAATCCACCACTGTGTTATGGGGCGTAGAAAAGATGGTGGAATGAGATGGACATCATTACCCTAAGTACATATATGAAGACACCAGTGGTGTGACTCTACTTTGTTTGTGACCAGAGATATGAGAAATTGTGCTCCATATGTATACTATGGATTGTAATGCATTCTGCTGTCATGTATAAACAGATGAGAATAAAAACGAAATACAAAGGGCTGGGGATATAGCTTAGTGGTGGAGTGCCTCTGAGTTCAATCCCCAGTACCAATAATTAACAAATAAAATAAACGAATAAATAGAATCCCACTGAAGCAATATAATTGAGGCTGGTGAGTGGGATCATCTCAGAAATGCTGGCATCTAAATAATAACACATTCTAGGCTTCTTGCACATAGGAATCCATGGGTTATGATTCGCCCTTTTTCTCCACCAGGGGACCTGAGAAAAATCTTTGGGACGGTGGCAGAGAATCCAAGACATTCATAGGAACGTGCTGCCATTTTGACTGGCTTCAGAGTGTCTCAGCCTAAGACGAGAATTAGATATTTGGTTGTTTACAGTAACACATAAAGAGGACAGGCCAGAGGAACCCTAGTGGCAGTGGACATTCAAGTTTGTATAGACTGCAGAAATGCTGAGGGGTTGGCCCAGGTATGTCCATCTTTCTTGGAGAGCCAGTGTCATGGATGTACTGTGGAAACCCAGTTCCCTTGGTAGCACTTGACTGAAGCAAGGATCCATTCGTATCCCAGTTTGGACAATGAGGATCCTTTTTCCTTGGAATTGGGACTCAGAACAAGTGAGCCTTGGTCTATGCTCTTGACTGTAATGAGATACAAGTAGAATCTGATGTGGTGTGATGTCCTTTGACATGGAGGCACAGACGTATATGGAGAAAAACAGTAAGAGTTCACACTGCAAGAAGCAAAGACCACTCTGTACATCTTGCTGTTGATTCCACCCAATTTCCTTGATTAACTAAGTGGGAATGATTTTTATCTTTTGAATCCAAAACAGTTTAAACGAAAACCCAACTCGATGCAGGCCAGAAAACCAATCTGCTCTTTTTAAAAGCCGGTCTTTAACTTTACCTGATATCAGAAATATTAATTAAACGACGCGTTGATTGTTGTTCAAAGTCGAAAAAAAACATGTCATCAAACTTCATTTAGGAACCTAGTCCCCACAAGGCATTGACGATTTGGTAGGAATAGGAAGTTTAATACCATGCCTTTGACCTTGTAGATGGGTGGCCAAGGTTCTTGTAGCTCTATTTGTTGAATTCTGTTATGCACAACATGGAATAAAAAATAAGACTCGGCAAATGGAATCAGGATTTTTACCTGGTATATTCAGACACGTCCAGAGCCACAGAAACATCCCAGGAGTTTCCAAGGCTGCAATACCCAGAGCTCTCTGAGCAGAGGCTGAAGTGAAATGATGTGATTAACTCCTCTGCTTACACAGACCAGTCCTTGGAGAAATCCGATTTCCAATGCTTGGGGAATCCATCCAAAGCACACAGTCCAACAGCATACTGGGAAATCTATAAATCCAAGATGTTAAATGCCAACCCACTGTTAGTTGAATATAAAAGTTGGGCAATTAATCTCTAGAGGCAACAGTTGCTTGTGTTGGAAAATGTTTATGTAGGAAAGTGTTAGGACAGACTTACTTAGCAGATAACGCCTTGGCTAAACCAAAGTACTGACGAGAGTTATCAGACCCCTGAGCTACATTCAAGTTTGGAAGTGTTCTTATTTGGCATGTAGATACAAGGAGTCTAATAAAAGATGAACACACGCCTATGCACCATCCCATAATTAGCAACAGAGATATGATTTGAGAAACAACGGTGGAAAACTATACCCGAATGTACTCAAGAGAGTACACTGAGCACAGAAGACTATACTTCGGTCCTCAATGGAGATGCATTCAGTTGGTTCCATGTCACATCATGGACCTCTCAAATAAGTGACATTCTTGGTCCACCAGACAGAGACCTCAACATAGCATTTAAATTCCATCTCTGCTACTTTCTGTGTCGTTTTAGATAAGACATCTAACTACTTTGAGATTCTTCCTTCATCTGCAAGATGAGGAAGAGAAAAGAAACTATAATAGCTTGTGTATTATATCAAGAATACTTTGGACATCATCCATATCTACTAAAATGTTCACTAAATTTACAAGGCCCTGCAAAATTAAGTTGTCATGTTCACCTCTTGCTTCCTTTATTGGTTAATTTTTTTTTTTCCCAAGTACCGGGTATCAAACATGGGTCACTCGACCACTGAGCCACATCCTCAGCCTTATTTTGTATTTTATTTAGAAACAGGGTCTCACTGAGTTGCCTAGTGCCTCCCTTTTGCTGAGGCTGGCTTTGAACTTCTAATCCTCCTGCCTCAGCCTCCTGTACCACTGGGATTACAGGCTGGGCTTCTTTGAACATTACCATAAACCTAAGACCACTTTTCCATGTCTGGTCCGGAATGTTCTCCATTCTTATGTTCTTGCAGCTCAGCTCCTCTCTGAAATCCAAAATCAAGTCGCTCCAGGCTCTCAACCAAACACGGATACTTTTAAAAATATCACTTATGGGGCAGGGATTGTGGCTCAGAAGGAGAGTGCTTGCCTTGCACTTGTGAGGCACTGGATTCGATCCTCAGCACCACATAAAAATAAAGCAAAGATATTGTGTCCACCTATAACTAAAAAAATAAATATTTAAAAAAACAGATATATCCCTTATCTACAACTTACTTGGGATCTCCGTATAATGCCTTTTCTTTTCCTTATTTGAGAGAAATATTGTATTTGAGAACAAAACTGTATTTTTTCCTTTCCCCATATCCATTTGGTCAAGAAGGAAGGCTTGAATTTTTTCTTGCTCCCTACTTGACCTGCTCATGAAAAAAAAAAAAATGGACATATTTCCAATCCTCTGTGCTTCTACTTCCAACTTGGTTAATGTGCTGTGGGGTCTGGGGATGATTCAGTTAGATGGTGCATACACAATGCAGTCATCCCTCGGGGGTCCCATGGAGAATTAGTTCCAGGACTCTCTGGGGATGCCCCAATCCCCGCCAGTCGCTTATGGAAAAGGTTGTCGTATTTGCACTTGACACACAGAATCCTCTTGTGTACTTTAAACCATCTTTAGGTGACTTGGAGCATTCAGTAAAATGCAAATGTGAAATTAGTGAGAATACTTGTTTTGCGTATGGTTCAGGGAATCGGGACAAGAGATGAGAGTCTGTGCTTGTTTGGTACATGGTCAATTTCTCTCTGAGTATTTTACTTCCCTAAGCCAGGATTCCCTGGCTACGGAAGGCCAACCATGTGGCCGTTTTTCTCTATTTGTCACCTCCTCGGGTTCCCATGTTTTGTCTCACTGTTCTTGGCAGATTAGAGAGGACAGAGGGAATCCGCTGGGCTCCCGGGCCCTTGTGCTCCAGGTGGGTTTGGCAAAAGAAAGTCAGGAAATCTGAGCAGAGAGCAGCCCTCGCCTTAGCAAGATCCTGGCAGTGGCCACAACCCTGGACGGCTGAAGTCCCTGTCAGGTGCCATCTCTCATGAAACCCTCCTCGGGGTCCCCGTGATACAACCTGCATCCTCAAGTCTGGGCGGTAAAGCTTCCCCCTCTCCCTCGGCCTTGGGTACCTCATGGGAGAGACACGCTCACTTGCCAAACCCAAAGAATGGGCTGGGAGACGAGGGTGCAGCCGAGGCAGGACATTACAGATGGTCTTGCAAAAACAGGTGTCTGGTGGTCAGACACCCCGAGTGGTTACAAATGGCATTCTATCCCCTGGTGAAAAGGGTGCCTACCCTGGTTCCCGTGTGGCTGATTACCGTGGGGTGCACAATCTTCCCAGAGGTCACCTGTGTTTTACTGCCTCCTACTGGCTTATTTAAAGAAATGCAGCTTGAGTTGTCTCCACCTCTCTTTGTTCTCTCGTGGTAGGAAAGCCTTTGGGGGTGGGGGGGAGTGCATTTTTGAAGGTACACAATTTTTACTTCTCCATTTAAGTTACTATTTCTTCTTTTTCTTTTTTCTTTCTTTTTTTTTGGGGGGGGGGATACCTGAAATTGAACCCAGGGACACTTAACCACAGAGTCACATCTCCAGTTATTTGATTTAGAGAGCTAACTGATGTGGAAGCCAAATACCTGCCATGGAGCCAACATTTGGAAAAAACATCCGCTCTCCACGTGTAACTAAATACTACCTAAAATCACCACATGGTGATCCACTTGTTGATATGATGAATCAGTGTCCACAGATCCCCCCTCTTGAGAAATCACTCTAACTTGGTAAATAAGATTTTTTTTTTTTTTTAGGATTTCCACAAACTAAGATCTCTCCGTGAAAACTCAAAACCACCCCATGTTTCAAGGAGCTTGTGAGTGAACACAATCATCAGATAAAATCAAACGTGTCGGGGGGTTTGTTTTATTTTTTAAAATGGAATTCATTGTTTGGGAGTCTGTTTTAATTAGGGATTTCATGTTGTTTTGATAAGCTGAGCTGATTAAGTGATCAGTTTTAACGACCTTATTCTGTTGTTGCTTTGTTTTGTTTTGTTTTAACTCTGATGGAAACAGTTTTTAGTGGAAAAGACCCTTGGACTTTTCGTGTGGCAGAGTGCAGACCCTGTAAGAGCCAACAGGAAGGGTGTTAAAACCTGGATTATCAGACCTGGAGAGCAGGGGATGCGATCCTCCTGGACGACATTGTGTGACCGTAAATGAGAAGGCCGTTATCTTCCCTGCGGATCGTCGGTGAAATGAGAGGAGCCGTGTCTGTTCACGCAAGGCACTCAGTTGGCAGCGAATGACATCTGAGTCCTGTCAATGTTAGGACAACCCAGTTACAAGCATTAACTGAGAACCCCGAGAGGTAGAGACAGTGGATGCTGCTCAGTGTAGAGATGGCTGGGGTCAGGAGACTGGTACACTGAAGGAGCCGGCATGTTCTCATCTGTGTCATAGCAACACCCCCCCCCAAACAATGGTTTCCACCAGAGAGATCCACTGTCTCAGGGTCCTGGAGGCCAGAAGCCCAGATTCAAGGTATCAGAGAGCTTGGGTTTCCCTGAGGCTCGGAGACAGGAATCTGTTCTGGGTCTCTCTCTTGCAGATGGCCATTTCCTCTCTGTCTCACCTATCATCCCCCCTCCATGCATATCTCTGCGACCAAGTTCCTCCAATCACACAGGACGAGGTTCCCAGCCCAATGACCTCACTGTGACCTGACAACCTCTGTTAAGACCCTAACTCCAAACAGGGTTACAATCTCAGGTCCTGGGGGGTCCTGATTTCCACATTTCAATGGTGGGTGGGTGGGGTGGGCTTTAACCCAGAATATAATGAATAAAGAGGATGCTAACGTGCTGCCGTGGAAAAACAGCCCCGAGAATGCTTTGAGAACAGAGACAAGAGGGGAGAGGTCTGCCTGAAATTATTAATATCATGTCTTAAGCCTCATTTTCTAATTTCTCCCGGTTTTAATTAGCTCCCAGTCATTTTATGTTTTCTCAATACCCAGGGCTTTGCTGCATTAACCCGACGAATGTACTCCTATTCATTAACCTACAACTCATTAGATACCCTTCTTTTCAAGCATTTCTGCGGGACTGAGCCCAGGAACTCCAGTCCCTGTTAAAGGCATTAGCTCACAAGGTGACCTTGGGCCAAACCATTTAAGTGCTCTGAGCCTCTTCTACCTACAAAGAAAGACAGCAGGGGTGGAGCGGGCCAAGCTATGCTTTAACCCCAAGATTCTGAGGTTCTTATTGTATTAAAAATACTGCCTCACACCAACCCAGGACCCTTTCTTTTCAAAGAGTTCCACTCTGCTAACATGGGTCATATTTTCACCCAATTATGTAATTTTATAAAAACAACAACAAAAAAAAGTCAGATTGTGCTGAGAAGCTAATTGATTCATTTAGAGATCTTTTTAAAAAGCTAATAGAAAGCACTTATTCCTCTATTCTTCGGGAAGGAGATAATCAATGATAGTTCCTGGTTTTCGTATTCAGGGTGAATATTGCGAAAGGGAAAAAATCAAGTGGGTACTTGGTTACACTCACTGAGGTCCTTCAAATACATCTACCATATTTTTGGGGTTTTCAGTTTTTCGGTTTTTTGTTTTGGGTACTGGGGATTTAATCCAGGGGCACTGTACCCCTGAGTCACATATCCAGAGTCTCATTTTTTTTTTAATTTTTAATTTTTCAGTTTTTGGCAGACACAACATCTTTGTTGGTATGTGGTGCTGAGGATCGAACCCGGGCTGCACGCATGCCAGGCGAGCACGCTACCGCTTGAGCCACATCCCCAGCCCATAATTGCTGAATCTTAAGAGTCTTAAAAATCTCAAAAGAGATAGCCTGGGAGTGGAACTCACATCCCGGGTTCAAAAGAGTTCTACTGGTGACTCAACTTTACTTTGCAGTCTCTTTGCTTTTCCTCAGCCTTTTCTTTAGGCTGCTATGACTTGGGGGACATTCCAAATTCACAGGTGTAACAGGACAGTGGTGGCTAATTACAGCCACTGGATCTCATCTTGCAGGGTCAGGCAAATGCACCCATCCCCAGCCACATCCCCAGCCCTCCAGGGTCTCATTAATTTGCTCAGGGTCTTGCTAAGTTGCTGAGGCTGGTTTCAAACTTGCTATCCGCCTTCCTCCACCTCCCCAGTCACTGGCTTATTCTTTGGAAACTGCAATCCAAAGTTTCCCCTCTCCACATTCCTAGATTTTCCTCTTTTAGACGTATAGCTAGCTGTTCCTGAAGGGATCCAGTTGATGTCACTGTGGCATGAGGGCTATTTTGAGTTAAAGATATCTGATGATGGAGTATCCAAAGTCTTAGGGAGACGTCTTCTCTACTCAGCTCTTGTCTAAGAGCAGAGGCTTCCAAATGGACAGGACTATCATATAACTCCCTTTAAGAGAGGCTTCCTATCCTGGAAAGAATGGGTGACCCCCTGTCATCTGAGAGGAGAAGACATTGCTGAGAGGAGACATTTGCACAAACACGTATTTCCCCTCATTTGTGGTTCTTGGAAATCTTAGCTCTCTCCCCTTCTTGAGATCATGATTAGTCCTGAAGTCCAATCATTGCTTTGAGCTCCATTTTTTTTTCTGTGAGTTCTTACGTAGGAGCAAGGATTCAACTTTTTCTCTTGCTCATCTGTCTGTTAATTCATAGGTCTGAATGAATACAGCCCTGAACCTAAAAGCCTAAGAGGAAAAAAAGTTTTTGATCTCCCTGCCATTCTCTGCATCCAATTCATTATTTAGGAAATACTTGATCACTCTATACCCGTCACTAGTTAGCTTAATAGCTCGAGTTAATCTGATACTTAGGGTGGCGATAGTTCAAAAGTCGTGTTTCGTTTACAAGCAGAAGGAAGCATATCCTTCATACGGGGATCCATTGTAGAAGCATTGCCTGCCTTAATAAAAACAGCATGGGTTCCAAGCTGAGAGGCTGACCTATTTCCTGAAGCCATGCCCCTGGGGTGGAGTTACCATGATAACAAAGCAGTATTTGGGTGGAGCTCCTCTTTCTGGTGATGGTCATTTCACACATTATCCTGCAATTTGTTTTAGCATTCCCATGGGTTCGATGATCTAGCTGTCACAGTGCCCCCCAACATGCACACACGTGCACACACATACGCACTCACACACACACACACTGGGAGTCAGCACAACGCCCTCAGGAACACAAACTGCAAACCTAACTTATGCAGACTCCTACAAGCTACCCATCTGAGGTATCCCGTTCCTACCAGAAATCCAAGAAGCAGAAGGGAGAGGGGCCAGCCAATGAAAGACGTGCCACATAATCAAATAGTGACGTCCTCGCAGAAAGTTGAGTTTGTAGACGAGTTTTGCACAGTGAGCAGTACAGACAGGGGCCCGTGAGCCGCCATGTGTTATAAAGAGATGGTTTCCCAGGCACACAGGAGGACGAAGTGGAGCTCAGAGGAGGATCTCATCGGGAGAGTTTTCTGATCCTGGGCTTTTCGTTTGCCACGTCGTACACTTGGTGAAACCTCGGGCATTTCAGAGGGGACGGAGCAGGGTGGCATTCTGTCAGGTTTGCACAAAGTCTCATTTTGAATCTCGGTTCTTCATTTTGCGGCACACATTCAAAAGCTGTGTCTTCAGGGGCCCCTGTGTATCCAGCACCGTGCTGGGGCATGGGAGAGACAGGTCCACCTCCCGCTGCCCTGTAGCTCATCACAGATGGGAGACGAGGAGAGTACCCACTGAAAAATGCCGGTGAACGTGGAGTAGACACAGGTGAGCAGAACCCTGAGGCATGCAGACCCCACAAGGCAGAGGAGAAATGGAATTCCCCATGGAAGTCAGTGGGGGATCCTGCTGAAGGAATTGAAACAGAACAAAAATTTCTTGGGTCTGCATTTCAAACAGATCATTGGCGAAACCCCAGTGGAGGGTAGGCTCAGGGACGGAACAGAATAAAACACGGTAAGCAGATAGTTCTGTCTCTTCAGTCGGTCACAGTATTTAAATCCATTCCCCCTAAAGTCCTACAGATTAAACAGGTGACTCGGGCTAGACCGAGTAGGTTGGCCATCTACAGCCCAAGGGCCAAATGTGGCGGGAGAACCGCTTTTGCAAATGAAGTTTTATTGCGATATGTCATGCTTATTCATTTTCTATTGTCACGGACGACTTTTGTGGGAAATGACAGGGCTGAATCCTGGTGACAGAGACCATATGGCCCCCAAAGCCAAAAATATTTACTGTTTGTCTTTTCTAGGAAAAAAAAAATAGCCCACCCTGCAGTACACCGTCAGCTGGGCTCCTTCCAGGTGTATTATTTGAGGCTAATCAAATACTTGACTGAACACCTGGAAACTCCCTCACTTTCTCTTCTGCACCATTTACAGATTACACATATATAGAGATGCAAGGAGGGAGATCGCTGTAGATAAATTGATGTATTGCTCCTCAGAGTGTGACTGTCACACGTGTTCAAATCATGGGTTAAAAAAATTAACTTAGCAAGTTAAAAAAAAAAATGAGGAGCTGGGAGTGCTGTCATCCCAGTGAATCATGAGGCTGAGGCAGGAGGATCCCAAGTTCAAGGCCAGCCTCCACAACTTAGTGAGGCCCCAAGCAACTTCGGGAGACCCTGTCTCTAAATAAAAAAAAATAAAAAGGGCTGGGGATGTATGTGACTCAGTGGTTCAACTTCTCTGGGTTCAATCCCTGGTACCAAAAAAAAAAAAAGAAAGAAAGTTTTAAAAAATGCATTCAACATTAAATCCAGACTTAATCAGACTTAATTGAATGTAATCTATAGGGATGTAGATGTCTTCGGGGAGAAGGTGGCATGATGAATTTACCACAAGGCATTAGAAAGTAGAACATGTAAGAAAAGGGACTGAACAGAAAGAGAAGGGTATTCTCAGGACTGATTCACTGAATGAAGCTCGGCTCTCACCTTTTCTCATTATCGTTAATTTAACTTTTAAAGCAGGTGAGGGTTTTATTTGCATGGCGGAAAACGTGATTGGCCAGTTACACCTTCAAAAATCCAGCGGAGGTGGGCAGACTTGCTGGGAGGCCTCCCCCTCTCGGGGACTCACAGTTTATGGCGATTAATGGGAATACATCAAATTTATATCACACCTCTTTCCTTCGAAGAACTCATTAAATCATTTATTCTCTCAGATTTGTATTTCAGATGCCATGGTTAAACGTTAAATCAAACGTTCCTTAGAAATACATACGGAGGTTATGGCAAAATTAAGGTACGAATGCCACCGTCGATTTTATTTTCCTTTTTTTTTTTTTTAACTTATTTTTATCTCTTAGTGACAGAACTAGTTAAGGGAGGTCCATGGATGAGATCATGGAGACCGGAGTCTGCTTTCTAAACTAAAACTGAGAATGCATCTCCCTAGCT